CTTTGATGAGGCCAAAAAAGATTCCCACCCAGAATTTTGTTAAGTGGAAAATTTGGACCCTTTTTCCATCCCCTTTCAGAGCACTAAAACGCACGCCAGAGCCCGGAGCCGCCTGCGACGTGGGATGCGGGGCCTGAGCAGGGACCGGTCCCTGCCTCCCCCTGCATGGCTCTGCACCATCGCTGCCCCACGGGGACACAGCCCCTCGCTCAGCTAAAGCTTGGGTGCTGCACAGCACTGCAGCATTTCTGTTTGGTCAGGTAAGATGTCTTTGATTGCTCCCCTAAAACTCGCAATCACGGAGCCAGTGCCTCCCTGTGGTGGTGACATCTGTGGCATGAGTTCCTCCTGGCTAGGCTAGGCTGGCTAGGCACCAAGGCACAGTGTAGGTGCAACCCAGAGATTTACCTGCCAAGAGGCAAATCGTGGCAAAGACAGGGTCCAGCCTGGCTCTGAGAGGCCCTGTAGCCAAAGCCCTGACTCAGTGGCTCCCCAGTTTACCACCAAGAGGGCAACTGCAGCCATCCCGGCCATTTCCCTCCTGGCTTCCAGCTGGGATGTGACAGCCCATCCTTGGCAGGGTCACAGCTCATCGCCCGGGTCTGCACGGCCAGACTATAGCCAGCACAAGGGGAAAGCCCTCAAACACACGCAGAGTGGCTATGGGGGCCTCAGTGCCAACTCTTTTGCAGTTTGTGTAGCAGGACTTATTCACACCAACACGGGTCTGTGCCACCCACACAGAGGGTGTGCAGCTCCACTCTGCCTCTGCCTCCCGCTCCACCCCAGCCAGGACATCCCCTGGGCATCCTGCTTGGGGTGTGGGCTCAGGGTTCACCCTGAAGAATTGCCACATGCTTGTCCCCAACCTCAGCTGCCTGGGTGGCTTTGAAAATGTGCATCCAGGTGCTTTGTTTAACACCCACAGCTTGGAGCTGGGAATAGAGGACCTTGCTCCCAACCTGGCTGTCCAGACTCCAAGGGCACTAATGGCCTTAATTGCCCTGATCAGCCCCCAGGGCAACTTGGAGGCTCAGCCCTGGGTTCCCTTTCCGCCTCTGAGCCATGTCGGAAGTGTGCCTGGCTCTGGCTCCTGGGTAGACTCTGGACCTGCATTGCAATCCTGTGTCCTACTGTTCTGGGATTATGCAGCAAATGATGTCTGTGTTTCAGCGTGTGAGTGTAGTAACTGAAAGCTAGAAGTCTGCTAGAAACAACGCCTCCCTGGAGAGCTTGGGTTACCTTTTCACTGGTTTGTAATGGAAATTGAATGAAAAAAGTACACCCTAAAATTTCAGAGGATGAGATGCTTGAATGACCTCTCCCTGGGTTTGTGCTGATTAGAGACCCCCAGAGGCACCCAAGCGGGGGTGCCAGACCTGCCGGACTGGGGGCCTGCCCCTTCCCACTGCCTGGCATTGACATGCCCGCCAGCCCCCCTCGTGCCTCGCAGAGCGGGGAAGGAAACAGCGCAGCCACGGAGGTTGGAGGTACTTTACTCCTTCACAGGCTGCTGTCATTTTGCCCTTTACCACAGAGTTGGGGGGAAGTGCTGTTATAAGCATGGAGGTGCCTTGCCCCAATTTGCGGATAGCCCAGAGCTCGGTTGCCCCATCATCTCCCAGCAGCTGGGGTGCAGCCCCCTGCCCCCTGCTCTCTGACAGACTGCAGCCTTGCAAGCTCGGCAGGTCTGTTGGGCTGTGCCAGTTGCCCTCCGGGCCAGAGAGTGTGTCAGGGCCATTTGTTTGCTAGCAGGGAATGTCACCAGGGTATCCCGAGTGCCAGCTCAGCGCCTGCCAGCTCGGTGGCTGCGTTGAAAGGCACCTTTGAAGTCGAGGTGCTGTTTGCAGGGTGTTTTGCCAGCTGGCTGGGCACCTCCCGGCACGGGGGGGTGGGGGCAGGTGGCAGTGAGGGGTGGGCGAGAGGTGCCGGTGGTTCTCACAGTTGCCGGGCTGGGACGGGCAGCAGCGCCATGGGACCACATGGGAAATCTCTGCAGCCTCACACTCGGCTGCTGAGTCATTTGGGGGACAAGTTATTTTTTTCTCATTAAGCTTCAGTAATAAAGTCAGCGTCAGAAATCCCGGGGGAGCTCAGATCTGTGGGATCAGGCGGTTTGTGTGATTGCTGTCCAGCAGACACTGAGCACCCTTACGTGCTCTCCTTCCAGCTGCAGCCAGGGCCGGAGCCGTGTGCTCCTGGAAAGCAGACAGCCTCTCCAGGCACACTGGGGGCATGGCTCCAGCTCTGCAGACCTCCTGCTGCCTGGAGGAGCCCGGAGCTTTGCCCCATGAGACCCCATGGAGGAATTAGGTCTGTCCCCTAAAGACTTTTATTGACCTTAACTCTTTCAGTCTTGGGTGGGTGACTCCCCTGGTCCTGTGGCTCTGCCATAATTCAGTGATCAATGCTCTATAACCTCTTCCACAGCCCCAGGGTGGGGGTTTAATGAATGCACAGAGCAAATTGGGGAAATTGAGGGCCAAAATGAGCGATGACGCTTCATGCGAGGGGCTCATAAGGAAGCTATACCGTGTGCTGGGACTGCAGTTGTGTGTTTTAGCAGACTTATCTGAAACACTGAAAAGGAAACCATATACCATTGAGCAGAAACAAGGGTTACACAGAAATAGCTTGTATTTTCCGCAGACCTTTGTCCAGTAAGAAATGTTTGGTTTGTGCATTTCAAGGCTTTAGAGTGCTAAGAAAATATTTCCAATAAGAAACTACCCAGACCTTCCTTTTCTTCCCACGACTGCTTAATTTCTTTAAGAGCCCTTCTGGGAGAGCTTTTTGGAGATCCAAGTGCACTCTGAGGACCAGATTGTCTTGTGTACACAATGGCTGGTTTCCTCCAAGAGCACTCTAGGTTTGTGCCTTGCAACTGCCCCCTCAAAAGCCATGTGGAATCTCCCATTGCACCAGATTTATCCTGGGTTCTGTTATTTCAAGACTTTATTATCCTTTCTAACAACTTGCCTTTTATAGAAGGCAGCCTCAATGCTTTGCAGTTTCCTGGTTCCCACTGGAACTTTTTAAAAATTAGCATCATATTTAACAACATCAGCTTTTTGGTAGAGGGATCACTGTAATTCTCACCCAGGCGAGTGTTTGGCAGTTCATCTGAGCACTCCTTCTGGCAGATTTTTAACCATGTGTTCTAAAAATGGGGTTAAAAATATCTTTTTTCCTTCCCCCCCGACCCAGTGCCTTGGGACAGTATGCAAATGCATGTCCCCTAAGGAATGAACCTAGTGTGAGCTCCTTCACAGCAAAGGGCAATGCAAGTAACTCACCAAGCTTTTCCGTGATGGCTCTTTCCTTCTCATAGAGCCTGATCACGTCCTGTTCCCGGGGCTCTCTGGAGAGCTTTCTGCTTCTCACATAGTCATGATTAATTTTTATGCCTTTAGGATGCTTTCCTCAAATCTTTTGTGGCCTGCCTTTCACCTGTAACTTGCCAGAGCTGGTTTCTTTTTTTACTTGTTCATCTATATGCAATTTTCACTTCTAAGGTCTTGCCACTTCAGGTGTTCATTTCCACTCCCCTGTATAAGCACATCACCTTTTTTAAGGCCAGCCTACCTCTCATTTCCCTTTTGACATTAAATATTACTTTAATGTTACTGCTTTTGCTCTCACCAGGACAGTCGGATCAGTAATCACAGCTCCATGGCCCCTCATTTGTTACCTTTGAACTAAGTCCTGTGCATGGTTCAGGAGTCACTTGGGTAACACAGAGTGTGGGGTTACACCATCCCACTGCCTCCACCAAGCTTCTGAGGTCCAGCCTGATGATTAAAATGCTTTTGTAGAAGGATGGAGAGGGGATCCTGGCTCCCTCCGCTTGCTGCATCCAAGTCACTGACACATGAGCCACGGGTGAGGTTGAAGAGGGGAAAACCCTGGAAAGCAGCATTACCCGGAGCACTGGGACTCTGGCCAGCTGGAAATTCAGGAGTCACGTAAGTCCTGCATCCCAGCTGCGGAGCTGCCAAGTTCCTCGACCCCAAGCACAAGGCCTGAGAATGGCCAGGGCCACGGCTGGGACATGATGCTGCTCCTCGCGCCTGCTCTGTGCCTGCAGCAGGGACCTGCTCCCCTTCCGGCACCCGGGCAGCACAGGGCAGGGGCAAGCCCACACCGAGAAGGGCACGGGGCTGGCCTCACCTCTTGCACACACAGCACACCCTTGGGAACAGGGCCGAGCTCTGGTTCACTTGTGTCCATAAGAAAAGCCCAGAGGAGCCAGCGGTGACAGGCATTTTCAAGTCAATGCAAGTATTTGCATGGCGTTAATGCTGCTATAGGTACCGAAGTGACAGCCTGGATCTGAACAGCAGCATCCCTGCAGCAGCCCCTCCGCACCCAGAGCAGATCTGCGAGGACAAGGCACATGCTGCGTGTTTGCAGAGGCTTACTGCGGGCAGAGCCAGCGCCCCAGGCACATCAGCAACTGCTGCTGAGCTTCCAGGAGCTCCGCTATCCAAGCAGCACTGGTGCCACCGTGTGCTCTGTGGGGTGCAGCCTCAGCACAGGCAGCTACGCACTGTCTCTGCTTTCCTGCGTCCATCTACAGAGTGGCCGCTTGCCCGCGGGCATTCCCTGAAGTGTCACCAAAAGACAATCTGTGAACAGATGCGGTTGGGTTGGCAACGTGCAGGAGACACACACAACTTCAACACAAAAGTTGGCACAAACAGACCAGTCGTAGGATTTTATTTAAGGCCCGAGTTCAAGAAATTGCCTGGATTACATTATTTTTACCCGGATTCACATGCTGGATCCAGGCAGCAGAGCACATCGTTTCTCTTCACCCATCAACCAAGCACCTGCATTTTTGATCACATGACAGAATCAGCTGCCATGCAAAGAAGTGCGCCTCTATCTCTACATTAGCCATGCAAGCACCCTCCTCCTCTCCCACACATGCATTCATCCTCAGCCCAGAAGAGCATGTGAATGGTGAATCAAGCTCTTTCCTGCCCATCCCTTTTGGTCTACGTGCCCTGCTGGAGCATTGCCTTTCCCAGCTCGTGGATGGCCCCGTTCTCCAGCACCTCCACCTTCCCCTTGCCTGGCTGCAGCACAGCGGCCACCATAGCCCTGGCCACCGTTTCCACAGGCACTGAGTAAGCAGTGGGGAAGAACCGAGCCACAACACCCAGAAACTGCTGGGCCATCCACTCCGTGGGGCGGGACTCCTGGCGCTTGCACAGCAGCACCCTGCAGAGCAAGGAGGTAAGGTGGGTCAGGCTGAAACCATCCCCCGGGTAAAAAGTAGAGACTGGGTTCTCCAGCTGCGCCAGGGGCCCAGCCCAGCTTGCTAAACCCATATGGGGGCCACAGGGCTTTGGCAGGGTCCTGAAACGTGACTGAGCTGAGCCCTGAGACACTAAACTCCCTTCCCCGCAGTGCTGCCAAAAGCAGGATGCCAGTTCTCCCAGGCAGCAAGAGCATGGTACAACTGAAAGGATACAGGTGAGTATCCCCCCAGCATAAGGTCAAGATCTGTGCAGAGATAAACTTTGACCTATGTCCCCCAACCTCTGCTCTAAACCCAAGCCTCTTCCCCTTGCATGGCATGTGGCACTAGCATTGGGACGGGCCATGGGAAACTGCTGTGCTTGCTCCCTGCAGTGTTGGGAAGCAGCGTGCTCATCCAGGAGCTGCACTTGCAGCTGGTGGCTTTCTCCACTTCCCTCCCCAGTCATCCCCTTATGCATCCTTTCTCTCTTTCTGCACCTCCCAACCCGCTGCCCTGGCAACCCTCCACCTGAGTCCTGTGCTCTCCCTCCTCCACCACTACTCACGCTGGCCGGAGAATGGTACAGCGATCAAAACCAACAGCCTGGACCAGGTTCTCCACTTCTCCCTGTCAGAGCAGTCAGGCAGGATGAAAGGAGACAAGGATGACTGCAAGCACCATCCCTGCCACCCCGTGAATTGGCAGCAGAGAGCTGCTGAGCCGTGGGCAGGACGGCACTAATACCAACGCAGAGCTGGTACAGGCCAGGCACTGCCTGGGCAGCTCGCAGCTCGCCAGGAAAAGGCAGCGTGGGGCCAGTGCCCACGGTGGACACGCTGACCGCGAGTCAGCAGCGCACCCTTGCAACCATCGTGCTAACTGCAACTGGAGGCTCCTGAGACAGCATCTGGACACAGCGTCCAGCCTGGGCATCCTGGCACAAGACACTGGCAGACAGCAGCGAGTCCAGCAGATGTTGGGAGCTGCAGCACACAACATATGGGGGAAAGAACTTTCGCGATGGGTATGGTCCCACCTGCGGAGCCTGTGGGCTTGCCACCCCTGGATAGTTCACGTCACACCTGGACACAGTCCTGAGCCTCCCCACCTAGCTGTGAAGCCATCCCAGCTTGGGGCTAGTGAACCAGGGTCAGGCTGGAGACCCCAGCGGGTGTTTCTGGTGGTTTGAAGAGGGACATGGACGCTGCATGCGGGTTCTGCGCCGCTTTGGACGAAGCCAGTCGCATGGCTGTCCTGCCAGCCCCCTTCCCTCAGCCCCTTGTCCCCCAGCACGAGGAGGACCCTCGGAGCCATTTGCATCTCTCGACGCCTCAGCTCCTGCTTCCTTCCTGAGCGTCCCAGGAGGAGCCCACCCCAGCTGCCCCCTCACCTTCACGCGGAGGTAAAGGAAGCGGCTGTGCTGGTTTGCCCCCTGGGAGGACTGCAGGACAAAATGTTTGCAGCCCCCTGCCCGCGCCAGCTCTGCTGCCTGTGCCACGTAGTCCCGGTCCACGCGGACAAAGCCATCCTGCAGGTAAAGGGGAGAGGAGGGTG